CTAAAAGTAAATAATAGAATTAATCAAAATTTAATATATTTAGAATAAAAATATTATAGTTGAATTCAGATAAAAGAATGTAATCTAATATACCCAAATAATAACAGTAAAATCGACTATAAAATAATAAAATTGACTAGATATAATATTTCTAAAATAATATGCCTAATTAAAGTAAAATAATATTATTAATATAAATCATGTATGCAAATTATAAATTAATTGAAAATTAAAAGTAAATAGTAATCAATTATTATAGTATATTTACTTAATAAATATTTATACCCGTGCATGAGCACGGGAAAATCACCTAGTTTCTAGTAAAACGATCGCATAGGACTATAACATCTAAAAAATACGTTACATGAACAAACTTTTATCGAAAAGCCCATTAATAGGATCTCAAATAAGCATTATTGATTTAGACGCAGGCCTAATAAAAACGGGCCTCATGGTAGAAGAGTCCGTAGCATATAGGAAAAAAAGGTTAAACCCTAACGAGAACCTAATATATATATTAATAATAAAATCGCGTAATACCTCTTCTCCGTCTTTGTTTCCTCATTTTTGCCGCCGCCACTTCATCTTCCCCCCGCAGGTACGATCTGTTTAACCTAGAAACTGTTGTCGTTCTCGATGAACAAACACATAGGAAGCTACAGAAGCATGTATTCTATATTAGATCTGTATTCATTATTCATTACTCATTACTGTTTCTTTTACGTGAAAGGTGTGTATAATGGTAGTCTCAGGTTTTTGGCTAGATTAGTTAATCTCCGTAAGATCGATCATAGGAAAGTAGTGAAGTTGATCTTATCTCATTTTGATTATTTAAGTGTTCATTTATACGAATGAACATTAGTTTTGTTTTTGCTCTTATCAGGTAAGTCAAAGCAGTTAGACAAAACTTAAAAGATGGGGCGTGTCCGAACCAAGACGGTGAAGAAATCATCACGTCAAGTGATCGAGAAGTACTACTCGCGCATGACACTAGACTTCCACACGAACAAGAAGATCCTTGAAGAAGTAGCCATCATCCCTTCGAAGCGTCTCCGCAACAAGATTGCTGGATTCTCCACTCATTTGATGAAACGTATCCAGAAGGGACCAGTTCGTGGTATCTCACTCAAGCTTCAAGAGGAAGAGCGTGAGCGTCGTATGGACTTTGTTCCCGATGAGTCTGCTATCAAGACCGATGACATTAAGGTTGACAAAGAGACTCTTGAGATGCTTGCTTCCCTTGGCATGTCTGATGTTGCTGGCGTCTCTGTCGTTGAGCCACAGGCTGTGACTACTGCTTTTGGTGGTAGGCCACAAAGAAGGTTCTAAAGGAGTCAATCGAGAGAACCCTTGCTCTTCTTATTATAAGTCTGTTTTGATTTAAGATTTATGCCGGAAGTTGAAATTATGGTTTTTGAGTTTTGATGTTCGTTTGCCCATGTGACCTCAAGATTTGAGTTATAAAGTTTCTACTTTCAGAAGTCATGCGTTCTTAGTTCTTATAAATTTACATAATTTGGTATGTATACGTTGTTTAACGGTATAATAACAGAACAGAGACAAGTGAAAGGTGGATCTACGGTGAGCTGCAATGAGTAGTGTCTATATGGGAACTACGATGATTCACTGGTCTAAGTGTCTGTGTTAGATCGAAGGTTCTGGTGGTGTGCTCACAGAGACATTGAAGAAGAAGGTTCCCACCTGACTGGATCATCATCACCATAGCTACTTTGATCAGGTTTCTGATGTGGCTTCTGAGGATGATGATGTTGATAATGTTAACTCTATTCTGGTCTTTATCTTACAAGTAATGAATAACGGTCATTTGACAAAGAAGATATCAAAATAATTTAGTATGTTTTCTTAATAAAACAGCAGTCAGAAACTCTCAAACCTCCCATCCATGCCTTAAAACAATTAATTTTAAAATATAAAATACTGAAAATAAAAATTTGGCTAATACGTACGTTGCATGATATGTTAATAAAATCATATCAAATATAAACATGTGATTCGTAAACGTACGTTTCACAAGTCACATGTTATGATGCTTGTATAGCAAATAAACATTCATACACCAACTTAATCATAATGTCGGAAGACGTATAGTTTTCATCCATCTTTGTTAAGGTTAGGATAAGAACAAAATAAAAAGCATTAATAATTACTCAATCATGTGATGTATATTATGTTATAAATGTTTATGAGTAGAAAGACCTACACAGAAGGAACAATGTCAATTTGGCATGGAAAGGAGCAAAAATACAATGGATCTCTCACTTTCGTACCTTCTTCCACTTAAGATATGTATAAATGATAGACATATCTTGCAAACTATTATCAGTAGGTTTTCACTTGATCAATGCTCATGGATATAACTTGTGGAATGTACGAGTGTATAAACAACTGCAAGCGTATTTATTTTGAACAGAAAGTATATTAAATTATTCGAAGCAAACAAACCAATGAGGTATATATTAGTTATGTGACATGATAATTGTAAGTTAATTCTAGCTACTTATTTATTAGAAACTCATATAGTAGGGTGATATTATGGTAGGATTAGTTGCTGATGTCTACACAATTAAATACAAACCATTAGGGTCAACGGGGTACATATTGTTTCATTCATTGCTGGCTTTGTCTGTTGCTCGATAATGTGTTTTCATGCAATCTTGATAATCATATCATAAGTCAAGTCGCTTGTAATTGTACTTTCTTTTATTCGTCTTTTAAGTGATCCTATATTTTTAAAATTCTAATCTCGATGAATTATTCACCAAAACTTTAGTTTTTTTTCTTTTCAAAAATTTAGTTTTTAATTTGTAAATCTGGTAGAAACATATGAGTTGTTGATAATAGGTATAAGCAAGAAGTCTCTAGTTCGACTTTAGTATTTGAATGATAAGATACAAATTCTTAACCACATTTAGCCAACCGAACTGATCAAATCTGTTCTGTTACCAAACCACACTAATGATTATGAACTGATTTAGCTCAGTATCATTCCTCTATGCCGATAAACTAACGTTAACAGGTTACTTGAGCTACACAAAGTAAAACCAGTTAATGCTCAGAAAAACACTGCTGTTAAACGTTTGTTGTTTAGTATCGATCGATCTCTTTGTAACTTTTATCAGTTTCTGTAATCATGATCCAACCTCTATACTTCTCATAAAGTATTGTTAGTCTAATTATTTCGACTGTGGTTTGTATTACAACAAATAATTTATCAATTTATGCGCCTTAGACCTAAAGATGATTATGTGGGTTGGTAATGATTTTTTTAAAAAAAGATGTTATGAAAGACTTAATAAAATTATTGACATTTATCAAATCAACCTAACTATGTGTAATAATTAGTGAATAGTCAACATCAACACCAACAATATTGAAGGTAAATTTCCTAAAATACTTTATGGTGTTGGATAAAAAAGTACATATAGTTTCAATCACCGTTTAGTTGTTGAGAAGTTACTATACAACTAAGATTTCTACAACTGCGCATGGCATTTATTATACTTTTACACTGTTTAAAAAATCTCGAGAATGACTATAGATAAAAATATCGAAAATGTAATTTGTATACTCAAATATATTTGAAGTAAGTGGGAGAAAATACTCCTTTCTAAAATGTATAACCCATAGAAGATCTAAGAAACAATTAATATTTGCGTGATTCAACGGTACCCTCTTCAATTCCTCACATGAGTTTTGCACCCTATCTCTCTCACAGACATTTTGTTTTCTTCTATATTCCTATATGTATCCCAAAAATTATCCAATGTATCACGCAAATTAAGGGAAATAGAAAATAAAATTCCCAAAAGACAAAATGATGAAGGTGTTGGTAAATAAAGTTAAAAATGTTCGTAAATGAAATGATGTCTTTATTTCACAACAGTGGGTTTGAACATCAGATTGGCTATCTTAATATTTTTCTACTCCCAGTTTGTATCTCCCGAACTCTAGAATATATTGACTCTTCAAGTACATTCTTCTATAATATTGATCGACCATTATTTTTCTACTAAAAGAGAAGATCTGTCTAAGAATTCCACAATAAACTCATAGGCATGTTAGTGTACATTATATATGTGTAAGTTTTTATCGAGAAAAACATCTTTTATTTCACGCACGCACATTATATAGATGGGTCGTAATTTACAGATAACATGTTGACCGAGATAATATTATTAGTAGAACAGAAATTATAGCCGGTACATAGCCTCATGGAAACGTCAAAACTGACTGCAAAATTTCGTGCGAGTTGGTTCTGTCATGTAATGTTATAAACATATTAGTATCCGATATCGGGATTTGTATTCTGCAACAGTTTCTTGTAAGCAATCGTTTTAATGCTTCGGGTTCTGCACAATGCTTTGTCATTGGCTCGGGACTAACATTTGATGTATACGGAGTAGGGCTGGGCATTTTATCCGTTATATTTGATTCGATCCGTTATTCGTTTCGATTCGATCCGAAAATTCCGGATATCCGTAAACTTTCGAATCAAAGCAAATACTAAAATTCAATATCCGTTAAAATCGAAGCAAATCACAAATATTAAAATTTTGGAAAACGAATATCCGATCCGATCCGTAAATATATAAATATATGTATATTTTGATTATATTTAAAATTTTAATTGTACAAAATTATATATTTAGCACATGATTTTGAACAATTCTATTCAAATTCTTACTTATATAAAAGTATTACATAAAAAGAGATAAAATATTTTTGACAATTATATTTTTTTCTTAAATTTTGTGTTATTATAATTGTAACTTAAACTTTAAAAAACTACAAAATCTATAAATTCACTAGTTCTTTTAAGATTTATTTTATATATCATGCAAAAAATATTTTTGCAAAGCAAATTTGTATCAAAATCTTCAGATTATTTGTACTAATTAAAATGGATGAGATATCCGTAAATATTCGTAAATATCCGCAAATATCTATTTATTTTCCGGATATCCGTTTTTCCGGATATCCGTATTTTTTCGAAGCAAAGCAAATACCAAAATTACATATCCGTAACATTCGAAGCAAATCACAAATACCTTAAAAAACCCGGATATCCGATCCGTGCCCACCCCTAATACGGAGTACCATTTTTTCTCTTCTATGTGTATTTGATTTGGCTTGTTCTCAAGCTCAATTGAATGCTATTGTTGTGTGTCTATACATAGAAGTATAACATTATCACATTTTTTTCAAAAAAAAAATTATATCACATCCTATATTCAAATTTAGATACAGCCATCATCATGTTTACATGTTTTGTTTAGTTACTTTGAATTTACCTCTCCCACAACCAATGGAGCTAGCAAATGTCTTTATATGAGCTATTCTCTCTGTATTTTAAAAGAAAAAATTGATGTTTAAGAATTTATTCACATATTAGTAAACATTAAATATATTTTTTTTTTCAATCTATTAATTCTTAGTCTTGCTTTGAGTTTTGTTTGGTTCCCAATAAAATTACATCGTTTATATTTTTTAGATTTTAAATTATAATTTAAAGTAAATGCATAATTAAAATGTAAGAAAAATAATATTTTTAATATGATGTCAAAAAAAAAATTTAATATAAAGAAAACTAAAACATAAAAATCTTTTGTATACAAATTTGGTTGCCACACAATATTGAATTTTCTTAAACTAGTAAATCGTTTCATAAATGTATAAAATATTGTAATTTCATTTTACGTTACTCGAGAAAATGATGTATATATAAATCATTTTTGTAATAACTTCTGATCAGTTATTAGTTTAGACTTTAGACTTAATAAGTAAACGTACTTTAGCTGTTGCAAATGTAACATTAAATATTTTTTAAAAATATTCAACTACCAGAAGGAAAATAAACAAAAACACACACATGACCTGACCCACCAGTCCTCTCCTCGGCCTCTTATATATCATTCCCTCCAAGTCTTCTCCCTTCCATTAACTGCCATTGCCAACTCAAAAAAGCTTTACAAAAAAACTTTAAACTCAATGGGGAAACCAAAGATGAAGCTCTCATCTCTGTTCAGAGGAAGAGCCGGAGGATTATTGGCCGTTCCTCTCTGCTCCAACGCGAAAACACTTTCACTCCGAGTCGGAGACGACATGCTCAAGACGGTTGATATATTAGAGGCCGAAACGCCTGAGTCATGGTTCACTAACTCGTCAGAGACAGCGAGTCACTCAACCGAGTCGGAACAAGACCTAGACGCGGAGTCTCTGGAGATGGTTGTTAAAGGAGTGGTTAGATCAGAGCGGTTGTTCTTCGATCCAGGAGTCACGAGTTCGATCCTGGAAGAGAATAACCAGAAATTGACTAAACAAAGCCCATTAACAACTATTAAGGCCCAAACCACTAAACCGATCGTATCAGCGACTGTATCGCTACCGATTGATGAGATAAGCGTCCCAGTGGTGATGGAATCGGAGGATCCGTACGGAGATTTCCGACGATCGATGGAGGAGATGGTGGAGAGTCACGGCGAATTGGCTAACGACTGGCGGAGCTTGGAGTCGATGCTCGCGTGGTATTTGAGGATGAACGGGAGGAGGAGCCACGACGTAATCGTTTGTGCTTTCGTTGATCTTCTCTCTGGACTATCTGATTCCCGTGCAGGAACATCGCCGGTGACGGATTCGGCTCGTTACTCGACGGCTGTATCGTCTTTGCCGTCGTCGCCGTTATATTCATCGTGTCAACGTCAGACGGAAATCGAAGAAGAAGATAGACGGAGCTGTTGAGATTATTGTTTTTTAGTTTAATCTCCTTTTATTGGATTTAACTTTTTTTTTGGATTAATGTACAAAGTAATTTAACGGTTGACTTAATAATAAGTTAATATCTGTATGGTCGTGAGAGAAAGTCAAAACTCATAGAAACTCAGCAAAAACGCATACCAAATAGGTTCAGTTATTAATTTTGTAAACACAGTTCTCAAAAAGATATTTAATACTAGTATTGACTTTTTGTTCTGAAACGATGAAAACACAACCTCTTCAATCTCATTCGACATCTACGCTAATATAAAATTTATTTAAAAGTTCTACTAATTCTATTTTTCAATGAGTAATTTTGTAAATAAAATAAAATATTTCTTTTTAGGAGGTCTTTTTAGGAGGTCTATGAAGCAGATTACTCTGAGTCGTGGAGTAATTGTTGTGGTCCAATATATACAATGGGATTATGATTAAGTAACGTTGGATCCAAGTAGTGATTAAGGGTAATACTAGACTATATCATTGTATCTGTGGTATAAAATCTTGTGGTCAAAACTTGTGTATTCAGTTTATTGGTGAAATGAATGTTGATGATGAGTTTTAAAATAAAATAAAAATAAATAAACGTTTCTTTCAAATTACTATTTTGAAATTTGTACATTTTTCTTAGAAAAGTGTATCTTATAGGAATATTTTAATCATCAAATTTGACATGTTATCTACATTTGATTTGACACTTAAAATTATCATCACTTGTGTACCAAACGGAGAGAGTATCTATTCATGTGCAAAGTCAATAAAAGCGTTTCTAAAACAATGAGAAGTCATTTTCCCTTGTGTTCGAATGCGATTTGGGAGGGGCTTAATTTAAAATGATTTAATTGATGGCTCACATAGACGTATGTAAAAGAACTATTCAAAATGTATGTATAAATATACTTGTTACAAAATAATTCATATTTATGATAATTTGAATTTAAAAAAGGATACTGGATTTTCGAGGATGCATTAAAAAAGAATGTTGCTCTATAATGAGTTTTCTCTTGTTCATTATTATTGTATCATTTCTCCTCCATTTCACATAATTGTTTTTTTAGAAAGACCATAATTGTTCTAACTTAAGAAACACTTTTACATAGGGCTGAATCGCTGATCCTTAGATGAATGCATCCTATACGAAATAGAAAAAAAAATGATAACACAAATGTGGTGTTACATGCACATCCAAATCATGAAATCTAACAGATAACGACCACTATGAAGAAAATCTAAGATGAAGAAGAAGAAAGTTTATCAAGCATAATTTTTGCTATTATTCAAACTTTTTTAAAGGTTTCAAGATTCTTATGCCTGACTTATCGTATAACAGTATAATACGACTGAGAGTTGATACATCTCCTCAACTGATAAAACTGACGTGGTTGGGAGAACACAATACTTGTGAATGAAGCAACTCTTTATTCTTTCTTTGTAATATAAGAAACATATGGATGACCTGAGACTAAAGAAGAGATTTTCGATGAACAGAAGACATAGCCGCAAAACTAAGAATGTCCATTGCATAACGCCAAAGAAAATGACTAAGAATTGAAGAAATTCAAATCTTATTTATATTGCAGACCAAGAAACTCTAATGGATATTCTTTCAACCAATTCAGAAAGAGATCATCAGAGAGAAAAGAAAATTAATCAATGGCAGCAAGACAACAACCAAAAGGAACAGGCTTGGGGGTTCAGTATGTGGATCTTGTCCCCAAATCCGAATGGAAAGAACAACCTGAAGCCAATATTCTCACCATTGATCTTCCAGGTTTGTAAACAAATTAAATATATTAGTTTGAGTCCTTGTGGTGGTTTTAGTTCTGATGTGAACTGTTTTTTTTTAAAAAGGTTTCACAAAAGAGCAAATAAAGGTAACCTTTGTGCACACCACAAAGATGATAAGAGTCACTGGAGAACGTCCCCTGGCTGATCGGAGATGGAGCCGTTTTAATGAAGTGTTCAATGTCCCACAGAATTGTCTAGTGGATAAGATCCATGGGAGCTTTAATAACAACACTCTAACAATCACCATGCCTAAGGAGACGATTACAAAGATGCCTAATCTTCCAGAAACTCCTAAGACTGTGGCTGAGAGGGTGGAGAAGCTAGAGGAGAAGAGGCTGTTGGAAGTAGCTAGAAAGAAGGAAGAAGAGGCTGAGAAGATTAAGAAGCTTCTGGAAGAGAAAGAGGGGATTATTAGGAAACTGCAAGAAGAAGCTAAAGCAAAAGAGATGGCTGAGAACAGGAAGCTGCAAGAAGAAGCTAAAGCAAAAGAAATGGCTGAGGCAAGGAAGCTTGAAGAAGAAGCTAAAGCAAAAGAGATGGCTGAGGCAAGGAAGCTACAAGAAGAGGCTAAAGCAAAGAAGCTTGTGGAAGAAGCTGCACTAGAGAAGAAAAAGGCTGTTGATGAATCTGTTACAAAAGAGAAGAAGCTTCAAGAAGTGGACTATAAAAAATCCGTGTCTGAAAAAGTAAGCGAGGCTGTGAAATCAGCAGAAGAAAAATTAGGTTACGTGGTGGAGAAGGAAAAGAAAATAAGGAAAGGGATAATGGAGAAAATAAAGGGAAAAGAGTTAACAAGCGAAGAGAAGAAGTCAATGGTGAATGTAGGAGTGGCTACTCTGGTTCTGTTTGCCCTTGGAGCTTACGTTTCTTACACCTTTTGCTCGTCTTCTTCCTCTTCCACATCGTCATCTTCTTCATCTCCTACTTCTTCTTCATCACCTTCTACTAAACCAGAATGATCTGTTCTAAAGAAGAAGTTGTGAGAAGCAGGGCTATTATACTTTGTAAATGTGATATATATTCCGAAATATAATAAAGTTATATTGATCGTGAAAGAGTTTGTTTTTGTTTATTTCTTTTGGCATTGTCTAAGAAACATACAATCGCTATGGTTTAATTTAACTATATACTTTCACACACCACAGAGATGTGTTGTTGTTGTTGTGCATGTTCTATTACAAATACCGCCTCTCAGCACAAGTTAGTAGATGTACCTTGGCCAGAGCTGGAGCGATTTTCAGTGTCAAAGCTGCATCACTAGCTGACATGTTATCCGAACAACTCATTACCCGATATTTAATCTGAGAAGTCTGAATTATATGATGTTTTCAAAATTACTCAAATACCATAACCGAATCAGAACCGAAATATTCCTAAATCTCTTGAACCGAAAATCAAGCGACCTGCCAACCAACATCTTAAGCAACGAAATCCAACTATTTATTTTTCTTCTCTTTTTATCTTGGTTGATCATAGTAGTACTCCATCTTTTTTAGTTAGGTTGTTCGATGAGACTTGATCAATGTGAACATTAATGACATTTTTCTCATTTTCCCCTCTTTGTTTGAGGAATAGAGTTTGTTGGATTGTAGTGTAACGAAGATTACATAATCTCCTGCTGTAATGTTTTGATTTTGTTGTAACATACGCACCAGTTTTCCTTTGTAGATATTTTAGTTAATCAATTCCCACTTCAATGCCTAATAAAGTTGATTTTAGCTAGCAAAGTACAAAAGTTCACTGCCAGCAAATAAGAAATTGACTTGTACCTAATGTAATACTTCTGTGAAAGTAGTTGCGTAGACAGAAGACAAATCAGTATTTGTAAGTTTATATTTTTGAAGGCTATTTTCGATGCACAAAATTCAGCAAGCCATCAACGTCTAAACTTCTCAATTTAGTTTTTTTTTTTCAGTTGGCCTTTTATTGTTCTCAGTTGGGTTCTTTCATTTTTTTCTTCTCAAAACAAATTATGATTGAAATATATGTAGTTGAAAAGTTTGTGGTTGTGAAAGTATTCAAGAAATAATTTGAGAAGAAGGGTTTTTAATGATCAAATTTTGTACAATTTTTGTATGGTGTATAAGATCTTAGGGATGAGAATAAGAGTTCGGTAATAACATTAAATGAAAGAAGTTTAACTGATGTCAAGAGTGATGAAAGTAATGCGAACTAGAGTTGAACTAATAATGCTTAATCTTTGTTTTCTTCATAGGCGAGTATTTTTATAACCGCCAATTCTTAATAATATGCTATAACTGCCCCTTCTTAATAATATGTTATAACCGCCCATCTTAATTATTACATCATGCATGATTGACCAGTTTTTTGTAAACTTAATTAACCTCACCATAATGTTGAACTCATTCACACTAGCATCTCTCCCCCCCCCCCCCACACCTTATCACAAACCAAACAATATNTTGAACTCATTCACACTAGCATCTCTCCCCCCCCCCCCCACACCTTATCACAAACCAAACAATATTATTTCTATCTCTCTTAACTTCTTAAAACAATGAGTGACACTGAATAGTCTTCCTATGCCAATGTTATAGCCCTTTGGGATGCAGAAAACTCACCAATACCTGAAGACAAAATTCTTGGTCTTTGGGCTAATATGGAAAAATCTCTTCAAAAACGCAACAAAAATTTCAAACTACTCGAAGTAATTGCTTTTGGTGCCAAAAAGCCTCAAAATTTTCCTCTTAATATGAAATTTAAGAAGCTTCCAGCTGTCACTATCCCATGCGAAGTTGACCCACAAGACCAAGGTTGCTACGGGTGGGTTGTAGATTCGGCTTCGAGCAGTGGTGATAAATTTTTTAATCAATGTTTTCTTCAATTGGATTTTAAAAAATGTATATCAGTTGTCTTCTTTTCTTCTTTCTTTTTTACAGTGAGACCCGAGAGAAACACATACACTGCTGATCTACAAATTGTGATAAACGTTTATAAGACGTTTATCAAACAGAAGTTTAAGGATGTCTTGATAATCGTCGGAGATGGCAATTTCGATAACCTTTTGAGGAATTTTTTCAAACACAAGAGTTTAAACCTCATGTTAATGTACCGTACCCCGATGAAGGGAGTGAGGATATCAAATCTGAGCCACACTTAGCTTTCAAATGGACTATTGAAGGATATCCTGATGCTCGTGAGCTGATGATAAATGGAGGAAGTCCAGTTCGTAAGAATGTGGGTCTAGGTAGGAATGTGGGTTGCTAAGGTTTATTTGTGTTGTGTGTGAGCTTAATCAATCTGTGTGTTTTTAAGCGTGTTTATTTTTATGTTTTCTCAATATTTCTTGTTTGGCAATATTATGTGGGTCTAGGTAAGAATGTGGGTGGCTACGGTTTCTTTGTGTTGTGTGTGAGTTATGTTTATTTTTATGTTTTCTCTATGTTATTGTGCGTGGCAATGTTATTGAAAAAAAATGTTTAAGAGTTTATGACCATGAACCATTACGATATGGTAAACCTAATTTGTATAAGATCAACAAAGAAAAACAATAAATATCTAATTAGCACATTTACTCTAAGTGATATCCTATTTGGTTATTAATATCAAAATTAATCAATTCCCACTTCAGTGTCTGATAAATTTGATTTTAGCTAATTGAAGTACAATAGTTCACTGCCAATAAATAAGAAATTGACTTGTACCAAATGTAATACTTTTGTGAAAGTAGTTTCATAGATAGAAGCCAAGTCAATATTTGTAATTTTATGTTTTTGAAGACTATTTTCAATGCACAAAATTCAGAAAGCTATCAAGGTCTAAACTTCTCAATTTAGTTTTTTTCAGCTGGACTTTTATCGTTTTCAATTGGGTTCGTTCATTTTTTCCCAAAACAAATTATGATAGCAATAGATCTAGATGACAAGTTTGTGGTTGTGAAAGTATTCAAGAAATAACTTGAGAAGAAGAGTTTTTAGTGATGAAATTTTGTACAATTTTTGTATGGTATATAAGATCTTAGGGAAGAGAATAAGAGTTTCGGTAATGATATTAAATGAAAGAAGCTTAACTGATCAAAGAATTTTTTTTCCCAAGAGTGATGAAGGTAATGCGAACTAGAGTTGAACTACTAATGCTTAATCTTTGTTTTCTTCGTAAGCGAGTATTTTTCAACAATTATTCCATGTATATTTAAAATTAATTTTAAGAGATATTATCTTTAATCTTAAGAGATTAAATATTATAAAAGACTGAATCGAATATTAGACATGCATATCTTCATAGATGTTCCTACTATAAAGTAGGTTACATTAAAAAAAAAATATAGACTAACGCACAAGAAGCATTCTAGATGGCATACCCTTGATCAACTTGACCCATGTAGCTGTGTTCAATGTCATCCCTAATTCATTAATATAACCGTGTTTTAGTGGTACATTACCACAGAACGAAAACAAAACGGAATACAATCAATAAGGACAATGAAACAAAAAAAAAACTTCTAAAAAAGTAAGCACATCTTTGCTCTTGTTCATGTAGTGCATATTTCCAAGTAAATTTATTCACGAATGAAGAGAGGCTCAAGCAAACATAGCTAGAACAACAACAACAACAACAAAAAATTCACCACAGATATGTTTGATTCTACAAGAAATCAGAGTTTCAATGTATATATATGAGTCCCCAAAATGCTTAAACTTACCAACATAGCTCTTATCATTCAGAGATGCAAGGCAAACACAATATAATAAAATCATCTAAAAATAAATGTAGAAGCGACTCTTACGAACCATGGGATGGGAAGAGGAAATCGCCAATAGCTCGCCTAGTTCACAGTTTAATTATACAGCGCTTCTTCAAACATATTACAAACCAGAATACTCTAGAGATGCTTTTGGAGACTGCATCTGGTCTAAGTTCCCAAGCACTATTCTGAAGGTCTAGATAAAACAATCCAAGACCTTCGGATCAAGCATGCCCTTGTATAATATGGTTTGATTGTGCAGTGAACATAAATAGAGTTCACTTCCCCAACTCTCAGTAGCCACCACCCTTTTAATTAATTTCCGACAGATGTAAAATTTCTCTTTGAATGTCATCAGTACTACTACCTAATGGACTATTAAACACTGATGTGGAATTCTGATTCCAAATCAAATAATCTAATGGATGCTAGTCGTGGGTTGACTTGTAGCAGTAAGAATGTTCTATGGCGACCGTCTAAGTGGTGAATCAGTCATAATTGATTTTGTTAATGCGATTAGTTAACCTCTATATATATATACTAGGATAAGACCCGCGCCTTGCGCGGGATGAAGCTATTATTTTTATTATGTTTTGAAAAATGAAACAATAGTTCTGTTTCATTCGGATTATAGGTGCTTAATCCGGATATCGGGTTTCGGTTCGGCTCAATTTTTTGTCCGATTTTTTAGTATTTCGATCATTAAAATATAACTACTATTCTAAATCTATATGTACTACAGTTTAATTTGGTTTATATACCATCGGTTTTCAGTTTATTCAATTTTATACCAAAAAACATAATTATTTAGTTTGAGATCATATTATATATTATACAAATATATAATATGATCATATTTAGAGTCATATTGCCACAGGGTCATTTATTAAAAAATATTATATATTTAAATAAAAGAAAAAAACAAAAAGACTTCTATCATCTAATAAAATGATCAAATCTAGAATTAATATCAAAAGACTAAATTTTGAAAAGAAAAAAAAAACAGAAGCATGAAAGAAAAGTTTTTATATTCTTCCATATTTAGTGTTCATCAAACCAATATGTCTTTGATTGAACACAACTCTGTTTGTTTAAAGATAAAAAAAAATTGTAAAGAATTTCAACTAATTGTTGTCCATCAAATTTATAATCTTTACTTCAATTTAGTTACTGTTAAAAAAGCAAAAGATCA